GATCGTCTCTTCTTGCTGCAAAGGGAATAAAAATAATTAAAGTTGAGTGAAAAATAATTTGAAGCACAGCATATTTCAAAGCATAACTATCATCATAACTGTTCAGATGAGATTTCTTAAAAACCTGGTAATAAATGCGTGCCCTAGATACTTTTTTTAAAATCTATACCTTCCTTATATTGGCCTCTTTAACTGGCAGCTTAAGTTTAATTCCTGTCTTCATAAATGTCATACAATTCCAAACAAATGGACTGATTACCATGTATATAAAGGCTGAATTAGATGATTAGATGGACATTAACGATTTGTAAGTTATGTAATTCACATCAAGATATAATTTAAATATTTGTCTATGCTGTCGTCTTTTCTCAAAGCAACATTTCTCCAATGTACACAACATTCATTTTGAAAAAAAATTTCTGATAACTCAAATTCATTTTAGGAAATTGGAAAAATTCAGAAAAGTAGAGTCTAGATTAATTGAGCTACATTCCTATTGCTACTCTGGGTAGCAACAGACCACAGAGCCTAGAAAAATTTGGTGCTGAAATGACATAACATAAAAGTAGAACAATAGATTATTTAAGAGATGATACATAAGTACTAATGTATTATGCCTATAATTAAATTTGCTCCAAAAGATATGTTCTGTTAGCATTATAAATATGTACAATGTTTCAGAAAGATGTAGTCACTATCACTGTAGGCTTGAAAAATGGTTAGGAGGATCAGTACTCTCATTTTCACTAATGAATAGAGATGTAAAATGATGATTATTTCTGAAGTTCTTTATATTAAGAGCAGAAACAAAACTGAAGGTTTACATGAGAGAGGAAACAAAAATGAGTAATAATTCAAGCATTTAATTTCAAAAGGAGAGAAAAGAGCATGTACAAATTGAAGGGAATAACACTGATCAGGTCAATTTATTTTAACAAATATGAAAAAGTATCTACAATGTCACCTACTATATTTGAAAATTAATAAGAAAGTGTTTCTGTCTTTGAGTTCATAATCTAATGAAATGAGAAAATTATTATTCATAGCCATGCAAATTAAGGTTAAGGGACTCTTCTCTGTCTCTCATATGACAACAAATTATAAAGTCAACAAAGGAAACAAAATGGAATTGTAAAAAAATAATTAACATATATATTTATGTCTCAAGAATAGATAGGAAAAGTAGAGGACAAACAGAAAAGTACTATTTATAATTCCAACCATATCAATAATACCATTAAATATAAACAGTCAAAAGAGGGGTTTGGTACAATCAGTTTTGGGAAATTGGAAAAGTTTCACAAATGAAATTGTACTTCCTAATAGTTTTAAAACTGGGACATAATTTTAATAGTCAGAGATAAACAGATAAATGGGGTATATTCTGCAGAGATGTCAACATAAAAGAGAAACCTTAAGATCTATTTTACTGATGATATGTCACTCACATGACCTAGACTACAATTAAAATGCCTAGGAGTACTAGAAGATAAAACCAAAGTTATGCTAGAATCATATGTTGATCCCTTTGAATTTCGAAGAGAGAAGTGTGTAATCAGTTTGGAAATAGTGGAATATTGATGAAAGTGACAAAACTGGAGCATGGATTTGGGAATGACTAATCTGAAAGTGATTGTTTCTATAGTTACTTACTTTTATATTTAAGTAGATTAAATCAGGATGTCATAAAACAGTTTCTTAAGAGAAATTTGCATCTAATATTTCCTTTAAAGTACAACAAAAAGACATAGTTAAAGTAAGAACTGAGACTTACTTTAACTATGTCTTTTTGTTGTACTTTAAAGGAAATATTTATATTTCCTTTAAAGGTATAAGTTGGGATGGAGTAGGCAAGGCAAGAATAAAGAATAGCCATGTACAGAAGTTTTTGTACCAAACTATCTTAAAGGTGAAACACTGAACAGGAAATGTGTTGGAAAAATGAGAATCAGGTAGAAGTAACTGTGACAAACGTTATGACCACTAAATTAAAAAAAAAAAAAAAAAAACAGAGGTAACGTAGAGCAGAATGTTCTAAGAAGGGCATGGAATCTCTTCAAGACAGAGTATACAGTGGATAGAGGGTCCAGAAAGTCTTTCTGTATTCTGAGTACATGTGCAGTATTTTAATAATTCCATGTTTGACTAAAAACGAAGTACCTAAAATTCAACCTGTAAAAGCATTCTTTCTATTCTACCTAATGTTTCCTAACCTGTAAATAACAAAATTTAAACCTATTTCTATCTTAAAATAAAATTCTTAAAGAGAATGTTGAGCTAAACAGTGCAGCTATGAAAAGGTCCTTTTGAGAAAATAAATAAGTCTCTAGGAGCAATATAAGAGTGGGTTTTGTTTTCTATAAAGTAGTTGTCAATAGCAGGCATTCATACATTCCAGAAATAAGAAAAACTGAATCACTTCTTAGTTAGATGGTAGGTTCTTATAACTGCACAATGTGTGGGCTAGTCACATCTGACATAAACTGTACTTCCATAACTGTTTATGTCTCTACAGAAGTCCTTAATTCACCAAAAATTATTTCAGCTATTTTTCTCAAGAGTTAAAGATTAGTGACAAACGTATGTTCTGTTACCTTTGAGTCCTAAAATTAGAAACACTCCACTTTTGACTTCAATCTATATATGAGTTAAAAGGAAAGATCATTTTGTTTATCCCTTTTTAATATGGTAAAACATTAAATAGATATGAATTAAGTAACAATAAATTCGCTGATACTCTCCTTCAGGATTTCCAAGAAAACTTACATGTGCCATTTAGAAGTACAGTCTTGGTTTATAAGTCAACAAAGTATCACCATATTACTCAAAAGTAAATCTTAAACTGATTTCTAGCTTCAGATGTTTCAAGGAGACACAAAAAATTAAAATCACCTACTTTCATACCATAAATATACTTAAAATTATTTTGAAGTTAACATCACATTGATTGGTTTCTTATAGGAATAACAATGCTTTTGTAACAATGAGTTTCCTTTCTATATAAAATATTGAAATTATCAAATTGTTAATTCTTTGGCTTAATTTCATAGTATGTCAATTGTCTTTGTGTCTCATATATAAATAAAAATGCTTAAATAATATACATAATATGGGTAGCATAGATTTTATCATATAATAATTACTGTTATTATTATTTACACATAGATTACTACTGATCACATACCCAATATTAAGATGCTATGAATAATTATGGTGTAATTATGGTGTAAATGCCATGTACCCTTTAAGTCGAATTTCTTTCTCTCATAGTAAAAAGAAAGAAATTAATAATCTGTTATCCACGACCCTAAATCTCTGATCAAATTTAATGCCTCAAAAAAGTGAAGCTTTAGGAAATAGATTTTTAAAGAAATGCTACTGATAATTCAGTACAAAAAATTGTTCATAAATTATATCATTGTTTCCATCTCTGTGCTCTAGATCAGTGTATGAAAACTGGCAAACATGCAGGTTCCTGGGCCCTGCTTATAGTACATTTGAAGTGGCTCTAAGAATCCGAATTTCTAACATGTTTCCACATGATAACATTACTACTGGTCCCACTGGAATAGCATTGTCCTAAAAGATGTTTCAGTAAATTATGGCTCATGTGCCAGATTTGACTTGCTGTCTATTTTTGTAAAACAATTTTTATTGTAACATTAATTCATTCATACCTGTCTGGCTGTTGGTGCTCTATAAGAGAGGTAAGTAATTGTGGCAGATAACTATACAGATTATAAAGACTTAAATGGCTCTTTACAGAAAACATTTGCTAACTTTTTCCCAAAAATATTACTCTTCTCTCCATCATCCATTGAGATCTTTGAAACCCAGAAACTAAGTTTATTGCTATCAAAATTGAAGTGTAGAGTTAGACTATTAGGGTACTTCAAAGCTAATAAAATATTTACCATCTTCATGAATGTCTCTTTGGCTAACATCTCACTGCCATGATTTAATTCTGATGAATGCCTGACATGTTCCACAATTAAAAGTCACAAAGTTAACCTCTATGCTAAAATAAAAAAAGTCTGAAAACCTGTAGTTTCTTATATATGGTACAAATAAAATCTGTACAGTACAACAAAAATATACTGAAGGATTTATGTCTCCATTAGTAAAAATTTCTTATTTCTTAGAGAAAATAGAGCCAATATAAGAAAGTTACAATTATCCCTGGTCATGAAGGACAAGCAGAATGATAAATTAAACCACCAGTTTCCCTAATTTAGTTAATAATTTTTTATCATCTTACATTATCCTCTGCCATCCTATATCTCCGTCATTGGTAATAGTATTCTGAGAAAGCAGCAGCAGCAATAAACTGACATAAGATTTATAAAGAGTGGTGGTTACAGGCCTGAGACCTCTCAGAAGTATTTTTTATTAGATTTAAACATTTTTGCAGAATATCTAGTAGTCAATTGACTTCAGTTTCTACAATTTCTCTCTGTCTTACATCAGGATTGACTCAAACATTTACATTAGCTTCTGGACTCCTGAAGGCATTTGATTTTGGGATTCCTGGCTTAGATGATATCCAAAGTAAAAAAAAAAAAGTTCAGGTAGTTATATCATTATTAAAAGCTATTACATATATTTGTTTATATGGGCATACATAAATGAAACCAATAGTGTTTTAGAGTAAAAATCTGAGACTATAATCTAAATGGGGTAATTTCATTTTACAAAAAGCAACAGAGTTTAGTCACCCACATGCCAAGTGTGAGATGAATAGACATTATGACCTTATTATAATAATTTATTTGAAAGTTAAAATTATTTTTATATCTTCAGATAAACAAAATCCCTATTTATTGAGCCATATGCATAGTTTTCCAATAAATATCGATATATTTGGTTTCTTTAGAACATTTGTCTTTGATTCAGAAACTTTGAAACCACTATTTTACAAGCTTTTGGTAAATAGAATACTGTCATTATTAAAATATGAAATTGCTAAGAAATTAACAGAAGGAAATTTTGTCAGCTAATACCTGTTGCACAATTGTTGTTAATTCCAAGCAGAGCTGTATGACATTGTTCCTTGTAACTGAATAGTCTGTCACAGCAGCAAATGGTGACCTACAAAGAGAAATGGAAAATTGTGATTACTAGGAATAGCTTTTCAAAAGTGCCAAAATGCAATAGCCCAAGATAAGATTTTGAATAATAAAAAGTGAATTGTTTTAAAGCTTGCATATTAATAAAATGATATTTGGTATTTTATTTAAAGAAAAACATTGTAAGAAATTTTGGAAAATAATCAAATTCTAGAAAAGTAATATTTGTTATCAATTTCCCAATTTTAAAGTTCTTAATACTTAGAACTTCTTTGATACTTCTTTCTTCTTTTAAGGTCTCTTCATTACATCTAATCAAAACAACAAAAAGATATGCGGGTTTGGGTATGTAGCTGAGTGGCAGAGCACTTGCCCAGCCTGTAGGAGGCCTAGGGTTCTATCCCCAGCACTTTCCCCCCACAAAACCAAAAAGGAATATTAGACAAAGTCAGTATTTTTGTTCACTTTCCAAAGAAGCTAAGAATTTAAGTACAGCATCTGCTCGAAATGTTAAAGATTATGAGCTAATGTTTACTGAAGGCTTAGTATATGCCAGTTGCTGTTTAAATGTTACACATACACTAAATAACTTAATCTCCACAATAACTCTTGGGCGATAGGCACTATTATTATTCCCATTTTACAGTTGAGAAAACAAAAGTAGAGAAAAGTTAAATGACTTATTTACATTCACACACCTAGGAAGTAGTGTTCAAACTCTTAAGTCTGACTCCAGAACCCATCCTCACACTTGGTTAAACACTAACACACAGTGGCTCTATGAATTTACCTAGGTTTTATTTCGAGCTAATGTTACTCACGTCTATTTTGGAACAACTTTGTGTTCTTTCTTGTATTTGCTTCACCACTAAACAAATTCACAATGGCTTTTCAATACTCCTTATCCTCTCTTGTCTGTTAATGTCATCAGGCTTTTTTTGGAGGACAAAGCTTAAATGACTGGGGAGGCCCAGTTTAAGGAAAAGAAAACAAAACAAAATCATGACTGTAAAGAAGGTATGGACGTAAAAAAATTAACAAATTATTGGAACCTTGGTACTTTCAAATGAGATATCTCAGGCAATTCACTAGAAATACTCAGAGCTGCTTACTGGTCACAAACTGAATCTGACTCCTTTCTAGAAAACCCAACAACTGAAACACCTCCCAATCTCAAAGGGGTCCATATAAGAGAGAGGTTCTTTATCAGGTAGATTTTTTAAAAATATATAATATACATATAAAATTTGGCCATTCTAACAGCTATGTAGTAGCATAACATAATAGTTTCAATTTGGATTTCTCTAATGGTTATCCATATTTATATTATACATAATCTATATCTTAATGGTTTTTATACTTTCCTAGTAATTATCTCATAGTTAATGATGTTAGACATCTTTCATGTGCATGTTTGCTATCCATATATACTTTTTTGGTAAAATATCTGTTTAAAAACTTTGCACATTTTCTATTTGGATTATCAGCATCCTTACTACTGAGTTTACAAAGTTCTTAATACATTTTACAGGCAAGTCTTTTATTGAACTGATTTGTAAATATTTCTTCTCAGTCTGTGGTTGGTCTTTTCATCCTCTTAACAGGGTCTTTAGCAGTAGATGAAAAGTTTTTAATTTTGATTAGGTCAAATACATTGAAAACATTTTCCTCTTGATTGTGAGTTTACTATCATCTAAAAAATCTAAGTCAAGCTTTTTTTCTAAAAGTTTTACAGTTTTATTTTTTACATTTAGCATCTCCCAATACCAAAGGGGTCCATATAAGAGAGAGGGTCTTTCTTAGCTAGATTTTTAAAAACATATTTTTCTCTCTATATATATTTTAAATTTTGGCCATTCTAATAGCTATGTAGTGGCATAACATCATAGTTTTAATATGGATCAATTTTGAGTCAGTTGTTGTATAAGGTGTGAGGTTTAAGTTGAAGATTACTTTTCTTTCTTTTTTTTTTTTTTTTTTTTTTTTTTTTTTTTTTTTTGCTATCCAAGTATTCCAGCAAAATTTCTTGAAGACTACCATGACTACCATTCTCCACTGAATTGCTGGCACCATTCTCGAAATCCAGTTAATCATACTTATAAAGTTATAGTTCTGGACTCTGTCTATCCTGCTACCCATATTACGGTTTTGATTGATTACTGAAACTATATGACTTAAAATGAGCTAATCTCTTTAAAAATAATTGTCAAAAAGTCAAGTTTTTTTTTTTTTCAAAATTGATTAACTATTCTAGTACCTTTGTTTTTCAATATGAATTTTAGAATTAGATTGTACTTACAAAATTCCATCTGGAATTCTGATGTTTCACCAAACCTACATGAAAATTTGAGAATTTAACATCTTACTAACTCGAGTCTTTTAATTAATGAACATGGTGTGTATCTCCATTTATTTATGACTTTGATTTCATACATCAGTGATTTGCAGTTTTCACATATAGATCATGTAGGCACTTTTGCTAAATTTATAGTCATCTCATTATTTTTGAATCAACTGTAAATTATGCTGCTTTGAAATTTAGTTTGCAAATTTTCATCACTACTATGTGGAAATATGATTGACCTTTGTATGTGTAATTTATATCCTACTATCCTCAATATTCCCTAGTTTTAAAAGACAGTTTTTGTAGAATTCTTTGGATTTTCTACACAAAGATTATCTACAAACAGGCAAAGTTTTACTTCTTCCTTTCCCATCTTTATACCTTTTCTTTCCTGCTATACTGGAGAAGACTTGCAATATGATATTAAGTAGAAGCCGTGAAAGTAGACATGCTTGCTTTAGAAGAGAAGCAATGATTATTTCACAAAATAGTATAAGGTTTGTTACATACGTTTTATATATGCTTTTTATCAAGTTTAAGATATTCTACTTTACTACTTGCTAATAATTTTTCTCATGAATAGGTATTTTGTGAATTTTTTTCCCCACATGAACTGATATGATCATGCAATTTGTATTTTTTACCTCACACATGATTAGTTTCATTGTTTGAAGCAGATTTAGAAACCTAAAATAAATTCCACTTAGTTGCAATGTATATTTCTATTAATGTATGGTTGGATCTGGTTTTCTAACATTCTCTTGAGAATTTTAACGTCTAAGTTCATAAGAAATTTTGGTTGTCATTGTGGCTGTTGTTTGCATTGTCTTTTGAAATCAGGATAACGACTGCCTCATAAAATGAGTTGGGAAATTTTCCCTCTCTTTTTTGGAATAGATGGTATAGAATTGATGCTCTTCCTTCATTAAGCAGATTCAATTCACCAGTTAAGATCACCTGGACCTGGAGATTTATTTTCTTTACCCTAAAGAGTACCATGGTCCCCTGTTTTCCATAGTTTCACTTTCTGTGGCCTCAGTTAGCCACAGTCTACCACAGTTCAAAAATACTAAATGGAAAATTCCAAAAATAAACAATTCATAATTTTAAATTAAATGCCACTTTGTGTGAAAACTGTTCACTGTCCTGTTCTGTCCTGCTTGAAATGTGAATCATCCTTTTGTCCCTTGTATCCATACTATATAAGCTATCAACCATTAGTCATTTAGTAGCCATCTCAGGTATGTGATAAACTGTCTTGGGTATTTGTATTCAGGAAACCTACTGTAAGTAGTAATCTAATGGAGCATCACATTAACTGTATCATTGATCTCTGTTAATCTCATCACACAAGCAGTGTATTATCTCATATCTTCACAAGAAAGGTTAGTACAGAAAAATAAATTATTTTAAGAGGGAGAGAGACCACATTCGCAAAACTTTATTATAATATATTGTTCTAAATTTTCTATTTTACTATTAGTTATTGCTGTTAATCTCTGCAATAGTTTGGATATGAGATATCCCACAAAATTTCCTGTGTCATGCAGAAATATTAAGAGGTAAAATAATCTAAGATTTTGAGAGCTGTAACCTAATCAGTCCATCCTAGTTTGAATGGACTGACTGGATGGTAACTATACGCAGGTGGAGCATGGCTAGATGTGTTGGATCACTGGGCACGTGCCCTGGAAGGGTTCATCTTCCCTGAGGCCCCCTCCCTTCTTTCTTTTGCTTTCTGACCAGCCATGAATGAAGCAGCTTTCTTTCACTGAGACCCTTCCCTATGATGTGCGGTCTTACTCTGGGCCTAGAGCAATGGAGTCAGCCACCTATAGATTGACACCTCTAAAATTGTAAGCCCCAAATAACTTTCCTTCCCCTAAATTGTTGTTGTGGGTTATTTTGGTCATAACCATATAAAGATTAAATTAAAATTAAACTTTATAGTACATATCTATGAATTTAAAAAAAAAAACAGTCTATTTAGGGTTTGGTACAATCAGCAGTTTAGCAATCCACTGGGTTCTCTAGCTCCTCCATGGATAAGGTAGGACTATTCTATAGGATTTTTCAGATTATGTATTTCAGCTTTAGTTAAGTCCTGGTAGTTTGTGTTTTTTAGGAATTGTATATTTCTTAAAAACATGCTGTAGAATTAAGCTGTCAAATTTGTGCACAAAGTTATTTGTAGTATTCCTGTATTAATCTTTTAATTTTGACAATTTCTCTACTGTGTTTTTTATTTCAGTGAATTATGCTCTTACCAGTATTAATTGTTCTTATTCTTGCTTTGTGCTTATTTTGCTCTTATTTTTTTCTATTTTATTGTGATAGAAACTTAGGTAACTTGTTTTAAACTCTTTTTCTTCTCTGATATAAACATACAGTGCTATAAATTTCACTTTTAGCAGTGCTGTAAGTCGCGTACCATAAATTGTTTTGTTGTATGAAAATATTTTGCTCAATGTATTTTTTAATGTTCCTTAAGAATTCTCACTTGACTACTAGATTACTCAGAAGTATAGTGAGTTTTAGTGTGACTCCATTATCTGATTTCAATAATTTTAAGTTTATTGAAATTTGTTTTACAATGCAGATACAGTTTATCTTAGTGAACTGTCTCTGGGCACTTGAAATACATTTGTATTCTGTTGAATGGAGTGCTCTAAAACTGT